CGGCCGCAGCACGCCCAGAGTTGCGTGGAGTGCGAGGTCCCGCCCAACGCTGCTTGCAGCTTTAATTATCCATGTATTTCATTATATCATTATTTCATTAATTCATTATTTCATTAATTATGATGGACTCAAACTAGGAGTATTAAATTTTGTACTCTAAAGGGCAAACAAATTGTGTTCTCAACTTTTGGTATTTTCTTATGATGAACAGGAGAGGTTTGACTCTCAACTGTGGTATTCTCTTTAATTCATTAATTATTTGATCAATTATGATGGACTAGGAGTTTTAATAGAATCAATGTTTTTAAAGAATTATTTTGTCCCAAAAACAATGTATTTACTAGTATCGTTATTCATATTAGTAGTGTAGAAGTTGCATTAGCTCACAGCATTTAAATTGACTATGAGAAATTAGCTTGTATAGCGAGTTTAGTGGATAAAATATGGTTTCCAGCTGTAGATCCATATAGTATTTAACCCTAACATTTGGCGTATTCTTCTTTAATTGTATCGTTGTAATGTTTTGGTGATGCAGACAGAAATAAACATAAGTGAACACACACAAGTGAAATATAGAAACACTTTATTCCCAGAAGTTGTAGCAGTGAGTTATCTTCAGACATAGAAAGGCCAATATAAACCAACTTTAGTACAACAGTATGATGTACAACAAGAGCTCACATTCTGTAAACCCACATACAGAAACACGATGATTGTTATCGTCCCACCAAGCTACTGTATCGACACTCGACAGCTCTAGTACACAGACAACAGAACACACTTTTGCTTGAGGGTAGGGCAGCATGGATGCTCGATTTAGGACATCAAATGTAGCAGATGGGTGGAGTTTAATTCCTTTTTTGGTACAAGAGAATATCACCATGTCATGTGACGTGATGATGATGATGATGTGAACAACAAGTAGGGACACAGGAAACACATCACCAAAAAGTACTACAAACAGCTGGAATGGTGGGTGAATCAGAAGAGAGGAAAGATGCCTTGTTGCCCCACACGGCTTCTTACTTCAGAATACACAGGAATAGGTTCAGATACAGCTCTTCTTCATAGATTTGTTTACCTCTGTGCAAGTAGGTGGACTTCAAGTCTGTGTAGTTTTCAACTTTTTTTGGATCAGCGGTTAGATGCGAGAGAAATTCGTGTGGAGCAACAAAATGCATCTGTCTCACTGGCGAATACCACAGTTGAGAGTCAAACCTCTCTTGTTCATCATAAGAAAATACCAAAAGTTGAAAACACAACTCGTTTGCTCTTTAGAGTGCAAAATTCAATACTCAAAATCAGGACCCCCATCGTCAAAATAGTCCTCATCATTTTTCAGAAGTTGGCGTTTTTTAGAGTTGCCATCAAATACACAGCAATTCAGGAAAGTGCGAGAGGGAGGGACACACATATTGCTTCTCCATCATTATGATGACAATTCTGTGCGGTTGTAAACATAAAGAACCAATTCTTTTTAATGGTTGATTATTTAGTGGTTGTATTTCCAGATGTTTTAAGGGAAGAATGCAGATTTTCTTTAAAAGAAGCACAGCTGTAACTAATGTGAACAGAGGGAGTTTGGGTAAACTTCCCAAAAGATGGAAAACACTGATTAGGAGAGATTTGTATTGCTATGGGAAAGGGATCG